TTGGTATTATTGCCACCTGACATGGCATCAGGGATCATATGCTTTGTTAGGTTCACCAGTATACTGTATTTATTTATTGTCTATCTTTATCCAGAAGAATTAAAGTTCCATAAGGTCAGGATCTTTATTTTGTTCACTAATTTGTCTGTTGTACCTGAAGCAGGGCTGGGACACTAGCATGTATTCAGTGCATATCTCTTGAATGAATGAATGAATGAACGGTGGCCTCACTGAGCATGAATAGGCCGGTATCTGGCCATTGTGTTGGAAGATACCTAACTTTCATTCTCTTCAGATCCTTCTTCTGGGCCATTTTCCCTGCCAGAAGGGTCCTAGCTGCTAGTGTTCTTGGGATTGACTGGGGGAAGCAGATCTTTCACCTCATCCTTCTGTTTTCAGCAAGATATCCCAGTCATCTTCAGTGCTTGAGTCCTCATGTGCAGAGACCTTTGAAATAACTTCTTCGGAGGGAAATTCCTGGTTTATTCTGGTGAGGTAGAATAGGAATCACCTGGTTGTGTAGGGGCAGGTGACGGAGGGGAACCCGGTTGCCTGTTTTAAACCCCACCCACACCCTTATTCTTAGATGTACTAGGTATCTGATTCCTAAGCCATTATGGGGTTCTGTAGGGTATTTCACTGTGATGTGCTGGTAAATGTTTAATTGGCTCTCTGGTGGAAAAAGTCCTGATTGGTAGTGTTTGTTCATTCCCATGATGTAAATATTCCCACCATAGCTGAATTCAAGCTACCATCACAACCTCACTGAATACAGAGTTGGGAAGGGTTGAGCAGCAGCACACCATTCTTCTTACCTTACAGACACGAGATGTTAATAACTTCAAGAGCATAGATAATAATAAAATGTAGTAAAATAATTAGGAATGAGGAGTTTTTTTTGTTTTTGTTTTGTTTTTTTGGCTGTATCGGGCCTTAGTTGCAGCACGCAGGATCTTCTTGAGGCATTTGGGATCTTTCATTGCAGCTCGTGGGCTTCTCTCTAGTTGTGGCCTGCAGGTTTTCCCTCTCTAGTTGTGGCGTGCAGGCTCCAGGGCGCGTGGGCTCTGTAGTTTGTGGCACACGGGCTCTCTCATTGCGTGCAGGCTTAGTTGCCTTGCGGCATGTGGGATCTTAGTTCCCCGACCAGGGATTGAACCTGCGTCCCCTGCATTGGAAGGTGGATTCTTTACCACTGGACCACCAGGGAAGTCCCAGGAAGTGAGGAATTTTGAGCATTTATTACTTTTGTTTTAAATATAACTTATTAATTGAAATTTATATAATTTAATGTTTAATAATGATTAATTTTAACCAGCTTGTAAAATTCTTAAAAATTGAACAGTATGCTCTTGAGAGCTGGTATAAGCCGGTTCCAGCACATGTCATCTTGCTTTTGGCTTCCCTTGCCTCTTGTAGGCTTAATTTTTCGATACCTTGTGTCTTCTTTCTCCATTAATTATCTCTTGCTCATCTAATTTCCAGTTTCCAAATTTTGTTGATAGCTCTTTTCTGCTGTCATCTTCTTTCTCATTTGCATTGTCTTATTGGGCTTAAGCTTTACTCCAAAACATCCATTTAATGCCATTTTAATAGGTTTTCAGGAGGTGGTCAAGGTAAATGCATGTGATCAGACTGCTTTGTTTAACCAGAAGTGTCTCCAATTAGAATTACTTTTAATTTCTTCTTGCATGTACGTGCTTGAAAATGTACGTTGTGACTACATTCTTTGGCCTATATAGATTCTCTTCTTTTTTTTCATTTTTACTATTGAATAGTTGGTGACTTTGTATGGCTCACATAAAATTTTAGTATAAAATTAACTTCATTTATTTCTATTGCTTAATGTACTTTTGGTATGAAAATTGATTCATTTAATACCACAATAATAACTTATAACCACAAATAAGTCACAGACATTAAAACATAGTAAAAGTTTTAGTTTCAAGAGTGTTTGTTTGGGGTAAAATAAGGTAGTAGTGTTTTACATCTATCAACATGTATTTTTCTTTACTGAGTTAGTTCATGACTTTATTCCTGGTGAGCTTATCATCTGTCTTGAGGTAGAGGGGTGGAGGAGGAGGGAATTATTACAGCAGGAAAGAAAAATAGCAAGAAAAATTGTTTAGTTTGTTTAACTTTGAAGACAAAATATAGGCTTGAAAGTCATAATTCATTGTGGGGAAAAAAAGGATTTTATAAATTCCTTTATCTTACCCCTGTAATACAACAAGACTCAGGTTTTGGTTGTAACTGAGACCCCATGATGTCTCCATCTTTGCACAACTTGGTGGTTCATCTCCTTCCCTTATGAGAGAGATCCCAGTATTCTTTCATGACCAAGATAGTTCAATTTGACTTTCTGAAACTAGTTGCCAATAGTTCTAAGTCTTTTCAATTTTGAGGGTTTTTTTTAAACCTGAACTTTGTGGATCTCGTTTCCACACGATAGCTGTTTATCATTAATATATTTTGACTGAGAAAATACAGATGGTCAAAGGGATATTATGAATTGAGGAATGCTTATGAATGAACTTTTATCACATCAACATGTGATACAGTATTTGTAAAATAGATGTACTTGATATCCAAGACATTTTTTCATTCATTATGTAAATGATGCTTGGTGGCCCTACAAATTTGCAGATTCCTTGAAATAATTCTTAGCTTCACCCTCCTGCTCCCAAACCCAAAGTTGCTTAGTTCACGGTTTGGCCAAGCCAGTATTTCAGATTATCTTTTTCCCAAAGTCATTCCCATCTGAGTTTTTAAATGAGCTCTTTCTTGCCTTTCCACAATGCCAAATTGTGTTTATTCCAGCTTCTAAGCATTTCTTGACTCCCTCCCCTCTTTTTTTACACCTCCTGCCACTACTCCAGTCCAGGCCCTGCTTACCCCTCATGTACTGATGCAGCAGCCTTGTCTGGTCTCTTTTCTTACTGTCTGTCCCTTCTCCACTCCATTCTCCATACTGCAGCCAGAGTGATCTTTCTGGTTGTGTCCTTTGCTCGCCTGAAATTCTGCTACTCATGTGTCCTATCATGAGACATGTTTGTGTTCTGTAAACACATCAAATGCACGAGCTTTTGTTGGAGCCAGTTCTTTTGGTGGGAACAGTCTTTCTCCTGTACATGGCGAACTCAAGCTCAGCTCAGATGTCCCTTACGAAGCTTTGTTATTCAACTCCCATATTCCTCCTGGCATCCTGTAGCACTTTGTACAGGCTTTGGTTATGGACTTCTCACACTGCGGGCACTTTGGGGATAGGGACTTTCAAGTTGTGTTTGTATCCCCAATCACCTTGAACAGTGCCTGGTACATGGTAAATGCCCAGTGAATGTTTACTGAACACACTGATGTGGATTGGTATGCTTGTGAGCATGGGCCTTTCTTTGAGACTAGCAGGAGTACGGGATTCTATGTAGTGGGGAGATATGGAAATGGAGTGAGGAAAAATGTGTTAGTTATTTCCCAATTCTGTTTTTCCCATTTCAATCTCTTCTGAAATTTTTTCTCTCAAATAAGACTTTATTGAATTTTTCTGATCGCAAAAGCAACACATAGCATAGTATTTACAAAGACATCATACAGGTTTGAATTCAAATTTTGCTACTTATTGGCTGTGTGCCTTGCACATAGTACCTAACATCTTTATGCCTTAGTTTTCTCATCTGAAAAGTGGGAGTTATTCTAATAGTACTTACCTCATAAGATTGTCATGAAGATGCAATTGGAAAGTGCACGCAAAGTGCTTAGCACAGTGTCTGGCACAGTAATTGCTCAGTAAGTATACACAGCTGTAATTGTTATGTTCAATGCAGAAAAGGTACAGGTCCGTGAGACCTGGATACAGCTGGAGCCCTAGGGCCCAGGATCTTCCCTGTGTTACATTAAAAGAAAACACAAATCTGACTGTAGAAGCCTTGCAGAATAATTTTGACCTTTTAAGATAGCCTTTCTCAACCAGGGTTCACCTGAACCACAAAACTCTGCACTGGAGTGACTATTTTTTCTCTCCATCGAGGATGCTATGTAGCTAACACTATTCTAGATGCACAGGAAAGTTAATTCATTATGTACAATGCATGATGTAGGAACTGAGGCTCAACCTCCCCACCCTTCTTTAAGAAAGGCTGCTCTGATGCTTCTTGAACACTTGGTGCAGGGACTCGGCAGAGTGCATCAGAGTCACATCCTCCTAAGTCCTCTCTAGAAACCTCTCCCTTTCCTTGAATCTTCTCACTTATGGCAGTTGTTAGAAATCTCTCCCTCCTTCCTCCCTCACCCATATGATTTGTTCCTAGAACACCATTCATTTGTTCCTTCTCCATATTGTGCTCGCCACATACCCAGTAGTTTCTGACAGGTGTCCCCTTAACGTCTTTTGAAAGACTAACATGTCTCTCCCCATCCCTGTGTACCCTCTTTCACCTCTGGAATTGCAGTGAAGAATACCTCCAAGAAAATTAATGCCAGTAACTGGATTACAGAGTAGTAAACATGACTGACATCTCTTTTCTTCACATGCACTTTTTAAAGTCATCTAGATCCCTTGCTATTGTCAAACGCCTCTCCTTAACAAAAATTATAGAATTATCTAGTCACTTAATCTAGCTGTGTCATATTTGTGCTGCCGAAGCTCCTGCTAGACTGTGTATGGCAGAGCAAGTCTGCTCTTCCTGGTGCCATTCCATTTCCTGCTGCTCTTCAGTGCTGACAAGGCTCATGCTGCCTCCCAGGAAGGCAGCGGGCACCTTTTTTGTGGGGAGGAGGGATAGGTCATGATGTCTTCTCTGTTAGCAAGGAAGAAGAATACTGGGTAAGCAATTACTAGTGTTTACCACAATTCATATAATGGAATATCATATAGCCATTAATTTTTGAATAATATTTATTGACATGGGAAAATGCTTACAATATGTTAAAGAAGAAAGCAGGGGTACAAATCTGTAAATACAGCATGATCCCAATCTTGTAGTAAAATAAATTATATATGCATAGAAAAAACACAGGACGGAAATACACCAAAACATTAACAGAGATTATCTCAGGTGGTGGGTTTTGGGGTGAATTATTAACTTTATTATTTCCTGTATTCTCCAAACTTTCCACAATGAACATATATTACTTTTATAATGGGGGGGAGGGGAAGGGAGGTCAATATAAGAGACACCTAGTACTGGGAGGCGGCAAGACTGATGGTAGTAAGGGGATGTTGAGTACTTGTACTGCCTCTGCCTATGTCTTCATTTATAAAGGAGGGACAATAACACCCATCCTGTGCACTTGCTAGGACCACCCGGTGTGTGAAGGGGCCTCAAGTGTCTGTTGACTGTTATCTAAAGCAGCAGCTCAAGTGCCTTATTTTAGAACCCGCTCCTCCATACCCTGTTTTAAAGGTTGGGAGGGATGTGGACACAGGGGCCTGCAGAGTGCAGTTGGCCAGTATATTCTCACCATCCCCACTGCAGGCCACCGAGCCAGGTAGATGTCGAGGGTCAGGGTGGTTGGGGCACGGGGGCTGGGGGAGAGCCTGCAGCCCTCATCTCTGACCTAAAGGATTCCAGGTCCTTCCTTATTTGAAATCCAGTACTAACTGAGCAAGTTTCCTACTCACACTTCAACTTCATTCAGGTCACCTCCCTGTTTAATAAGTTCTTTAAACCAGTTCTGCTGAAATAGTTATTGCTTAAAATGGCCTGAGAATTACCACTCTCCCAGCATTCCAGAGTCATAAGGGGGCACAACATGGACCCAGTTGGGCAGTGTGAAGGGTAAGGAGAGGTGCTGGGGGTCAGGCCAGCCAGAGTTGGATTTTTACTTGCTCTGTGATGTTAGGTAACTTACTCTGCTTTCCAGAGATGATCTCTTAATATGAGATGTGATGACTTTACACAAGATAAGATACATAAAAAGCCCAGCACAGAGCAAGCAATCAACAGATGTTAGTTCTCTTTTCCGTGTGCAAGATGAGGTCACTTTCATCTTCTCCCTCTGCAAATTCTCTCTTCAAAACAAAGCTTAGTGCCCAGTATGGGGAAACTCAAAATGAAACAGAACTCATTGAAAGCAGAAGAGCACAGCTACTTAAACAGGACTGTTCAAACACTCTGCATAAAGCTGGCAAGATGGTATTTCATTAAACATGTCTTCATTTAGGTAAGCCGACACTCATGCCAAAGCTATTTAATTGCAGAAATTATAAAAATACTTTAAAAATGCATTTGTAGAATGAAGTAACAAAAATACTTAAATTCTTTTTTCTAAACTTTTTTTCATTTAATCTAAAATTATGAATTACCAAGTTTCATTTTATTTACTGTTAAAACATGGGTCACACATAACTTATACTCCCAACTATTTTGGATAAAAAATCCTAAAATGTATTCTTCCTAGTCTTTTTATAGAGTATTCTTATTTTTTAAAAGAAACACAAGGTCATCATTATGAGAATAGTTTATAGGCCATACTGTTGTACAGATACTTTCTGGGTCAACTAGAATGTCCTTTAGGAAACAGATGGTCCCAGACTTATGACGCCTTGAGTAGTTTTCATTCTCCCCACGTTCCTATCCGGTTTTCAGTTGGCTTTTTGCTGCTTTCAGTAGGCCTGCTTTCCATCTAACAGCCGCCTCCTTTGCCATTTTTTCGTGGGCTTGGAAGTCAGATAACTAAACATGTTAGAAGTATATGCAAATTTTAGTAAAGAGGCACAAGGTGAGATTCTTGAGGATCTCTCCTATAAATAAATTGTAAGAAACTTTGCCATCTCTTTTGGCAGCTCTAAGGCTTTTTAAAACTGAATTCCTGATTTGTACTTTTGCCAGAGAAGTGACTTCTGGATAAATGACATTTTCACTAATACTTCATGTACTTTATCCTTAGAAAGGCTATTTATTATAAGTGAGATAACAGATGTAAAAGCACTTTAAAAAAGCATAAACTGTGAAATAGGATTGTTTACCCCACGTATCTATAAAGAAACACACACAGATAGCTAAATTGAATCAACCCCAATGTTTTATTTAATTTAAAGTTTTAAAAGGCAGTGGTTAAGCACATTATGTGTGTATATATATATATATATGTATATACATACATATATATATATAAAAGGAAACCAACCCCTTTTCAACTTTAGCCATTGATTAACTAGGCCCACTGTCTATTTGCATGATTCATTTTCTACTTCGTCATATGACCAATTCTAAAAGTAAAAATAAACAGGCTTAATCAGTTTAACAGTAACTATTTGTGTTTCTTTTTTAAATAAATAAAGTTACCATTAAACTGATCACATATGGTAGAAAGGTAGGACACACACACAAGCACACACAGTCCCCAATTTAAAACATGTGACATATGAGTGACCTATATGTACAAATGGGTGCTGCTGACTCCCCCACCCTCAGCAGAGGGCTCAAAAGGCCCCCCCGTACCCAGGGGGTCCCCATTCCCTCTACCAGGTTGGAGGCACCCCTATGTTAGACCTCAGAATGCATGTTCCCCATGCAGTGATACAGATGGGGGTTCAGTTCTATGGTACTAGTGTTCAGGTTATTAGGGAATAAATAGGCATTTGTAGCTGCCTCAGAACTAAACCATCACTTATAACTTTATAGGGAGAAATGTATTCTGAAGTTCCAGATAACTGACATACAAACTTTTTGAATGTAATCAGTTTGCAAGTCTGGGGCTGTTGTGTGTGTGTGCGTGTGTGTGCATTTCTATAGATTTATACAAAATTGAAATGAAGAGTGGGGCTACGTTTATGGAGCAGCTGCTGCTTGGCTTCCATTCACTCAGTCCTGATCTAACAAGTCACTTGCCTCAGCCCCTTTTTAGCAGCTCGTTCTGCTTCTCACATGCCTCTGTCTCTGGAGAGATTCAGAAAGGGCAGCTCACACAAGTGAGAGGAAGGACACGGCTAAATCTTCTTTAGAATCTTGGCAAACAGAACTGCCAGATTCAACCAGGGCTGCTTTATAGAGTGAAGTCCTTCAGTTCCATCTTGACAAAATGGAATTTTTCTGTTCCTAGTCTCTGCAACTCCGTCTAACTGCAGCTCTGTATGAATGCCTCAATATCGCAAAACACAGGATCACTTCTTAAATATGCTGGATTCTCAATGAGTAAACCAGTTAATGTGTTTCTAGCCAAAGCAAGGGCATAAATGTTTTAGAGAAAAGATTCCCCTGGAGCTACAGAGAAAAGATGCTGATAAAAGCAATACTGAGAGTTGAGCAGGTGATGCTTTTAGTCTGTGTCAGAGCTGGTCTCCTCGATGACAGAGTACTGGTTGAGTGCTTCCTCCAAAGGCGTTATTGTCCCATCAGGTTTTAGTCCCATTGGTTTAAGCAACTCCTCTCTGGAAAAAAGAGAGAAAAGAAAGAAAAAAAAAGTATTCACCAGCATCACACACACCCCCTCCCCCCACCCAAATCCACTTCCTTTAAAAAAAAGAAAAGTCTTTAAAAACCGAAGTATTTTTCCTCAAGCTCTCTCTGTGTGTTTGTAACAGGAAAGATGAAAGAGGTATGGAAAGAAAAAGAGGGAGATAAAAGACTTCATTCACACAGGCCAAACCTACTAAGCCAATTAAAAGTATGAAAAGTCAAGGTCTAAATGGGCTCAGGACAAGGAGCAGGTCTCTTCTGTTTTTAATAATTTTTTTCCTTTTGTGGATTTGTTTTAGTGAAGTTGAAGCTGCCAAAATTTCACCTGTCCCAGTGGACCAGGCATATAATTAATGGCTAATTTGATATGTATGGATTTCGTTTAATGGAATAAATCATCATTTGATTTTTGCCTCTCCAATCTCTAGTGATACGTAAGTACTTATTGATTTCAAATCATTTGGCCTTCCCCAACTTTCTCCCTCCCTTTTCTTTCCTCTCTCTCTCCTTCTTCTTCTTCTTTTTTAAAAAACACCATTGCTTTTGTTTGTGGCAGTTTAATTATGGGATTGACAGCCATTTTAATCTCTTCAAAGCTCCCCAACTGCCTCTTTTCAGCTAATCCAATTATATCTACTCCACAAGTTACAGCCTCATCTAAAGATGATTAATTATTGATTAAGCCAATCAAAAAGCATTAAGAAAGATTTATTTAATCTTTTCATAGGCTCTTATTTATTGTATAGAGAAAATGTACATGTTGAGATGCTAACTCTAGTCCTCCTCCCACCCCAATCAGTCAGCAGTGTACTTTAAAAGGAGCCTTGAAGAGGCACATGAACTGCTTAAAACTTACTTCTCACAGAAACGGGCATCACCCCCTAAAAACATGTCTACAACAAGAACCAACATGGCAGCAGTTGTAATGCTGGTGGGAGTTGGAGTGAAGGAAAATGATAAAACCTCCTCTCCCTCTGCTTCCTTGCTGTTGTCCCTTAGGCCAGAAGGGCTCCCCTCGGAAGGGCCGGCCACATAGCAGTGTGACGGTGTTATAGCTGCAGAGAAACTTCCTGGGGAAGGGGAGGAACAGCTCAGTGGTCACTGGATAAGTCAACAGGAACCTAATCAAGCAGCTCTGGCTGGTACCAGAAGACTATTGCTGGGAGTCTGAAAACTCTCTTTGAGTAATGTGGATGGTTGACTGGTTGAGGCTGCTAAATATTATAAAGTAGGAAATGTGTTTCCTGATCCAAGAAATGGGGTCAGAATCATAGAACTTAAAGTTGAAGGGGCCTTAGAGATCATTTAGTCCAACCCCCTTGTTTAATAAAGGAGACTGAGTGACTTACCCAAGGTCACATATCTAGTGGCAAAGTTGGACCTGGGACATAGGCCTCTGAATCCCAGTCCAGTGCTCTTTGCAGCACACACATCTGGATTAACTGCTATAACTGTACTGAAGGAACACACTCTGAGTTCAGCAGTTCAAGGACTATGTGCCAGGAACTGTGTCATATACTGGGAAGAAAAGGAAGACTAGGCACAGCTGCTGCCCTTGAGGAGTGAGTGAAACATATACATGAAAAATAACTTAGAACATAATGGGGTAAATGCTGTAACAGAATCATGAACAAAAATAACAGCTCCTGAGATGAAGCATCAACCAAATTGCCTGGGGAAGGTGGGAACGGCACCTCCAACGAGGTGTCCTATGCCATGCGAAGATAGTACAGAACTTTTCAGGCAAAGGAGTCTGTGTGGAGGGCTCTGTATAGTCCCAACTACTTGTGATTTTTTCTGTAGACCTCTTTGGATTGTGTCAATTTCTTTCTCGGCTCCCATGAAGCTGGGACAGGGCCCAGTGTTTGGGGAGTGGCGAGGTTCAATGAAGGAGCAGGAGGAGGCAAGGCTGCAAAAAGGGTAGTTGGGGGTCTAGTGGTCAGGTGTCTTGAATGCCAAAGCAAGGAGCTCGAGTCTTAGCCTGTAAGGAATGCCCTATCAGGTTTGCTTTATAGGGAAATATCTCTGGCAGCAGTGCAAAAGACACACTGGAATAGGGGAAACTGCGGCGGGGAGACGAGCCATGAGGATGTCACTGTAACGGTAATGGCATGAGAGGAGACAGAGAGCTGGATCATGGCTGTGGCTGTAGGAAGGAAAGGCCTTCCTTCCAGGGCAGAGCTGTGGTCCGCTGGAAGGGTGGAGGTAGGGGGTGAGGAGCAGAGCGTGGCTGTGGCCTCGCTCCGATGGCCACGTGGGTGGCGACCCGCTCGCTGCGGCAAGAGCACAGCAGGTGCAGCAGCTCGGGGGCGGGGGGCAGACACTGACATCTTTCAGGACAGCAAACAGCTCTGCATGACAACCAGGGAGAAATGCTTAGAGGAACCAGAAAACAATCTGCTTCCACTGAAACTTTCAGCACGCATACATACTATACATAGCTATACTTTAGTAACAGTTTCCTAGTTCTGATGGTGCTGAAGGACTCTGTGATACTGGACACTGTTTACTAATAATCGATACCAAAGGAGAAGGGGATCCCCTTCTGGGGTGAAACATTAAGGGATCAGAAAGTTCAAAGGTCTGAAGGGGCTGGTGGACTGAGGGTACAGTAAGGTGGGGGTGGGGTTGAAGGGTTTGGGTAGGTAGAAGTCTGATCAGCAGATGAGACTATAGGAATTCTACCAAGATAGTGAATTGCTGGGTGGATATGCCATCACTCCTAACACTCCAGCATTTCTTTGGTAACAGGATGATATTGGAGCTAGCTGCCAGCTTGCACAAAGTAGCTAGCACTTTCTCATCCAAACCCAGGAGGAATATTTTCAAATCAAGTCCATCGATTTCACCCCTACTCCCTAATCCAATTTTATAATAGAAATAATTAAGAACATTACAAAAATTTTATGGCCAAATTATGGGAATTCATCTATAGAATAAAGGGGCTCATATTTTAATTCTCATTTGTGAACTATTCTTCTCAAGGCTTTATTTTTTAGGTCTTCTGTATCACCCCTCTACTAACATAGAAGCTCCTCTGAGGGTATGAATTGTCTTTTCCACATGGCTCCATACGATGCTTGGTCTTACTGACATTCCTGTAGGAGAGGTGTCAGTGGTAACTGGCCACATAATCATGCATTCGTGCAAATAAATTAAGGCAGCAATGTGATATAGTGGAAAGAACAAAAAGATCTAGAGTCAGGAAGTCTGGCTGAAGTCCTGGCTCTTCCACTTACCAGTTGTGTGATCTTGGGCAAGTCTCTGAGTCTCTGTATTCCCATCTGTGAAATGGGGATAATGATACTAGCACTACCTACTTCCTAGTGATGACTTAAGGGGTAATAGTACTAGCAGTGGTAGTAGTAATTGCAATAATAATAGTGCAGATGAAAGAGCTCTATGAACTGTAAAGGAGTCCTAAATATTAGTTATCATTATTGTGGTATAGTGAAAGGCATATATAGGTTTTGGAATCAGACAGACCTAAGTTCTAATCCTGGATCTACCACTCACTAGCAGTAAGACCTTGAACTCTCTGAACTTCAATTTCCTTATCTGTAGAATTGGGATAGGAATACCCAGTTCACTGAGTTGTCATGAGGGTGAAAGGTCATTCTACATAAAAAGTGCATAGTGCAATGGCCGAAATGTAGTTGGAACCCACAAGATGCATTTCCTGTCCCTTATGTGTTTATGGAAGGAAGGTTTCCACAAGATTGTTAGGGTACTCTTTGGGAATAAGTGGGAGAAGAATATGCAGAAGCAAATAAAAGACATGGTCCCTGTCCTCAAGAAGCTTTTAGTCAGTTCAGAAGGTAAAACACACACACATTAAACAATATTAAAGGAATTACAGAACAGCAGATCAACAAGCTTGAGATGATTAACAGGCAGAGCCCTGCTTTCCCTAGCTTGACAGTTCTGTACACCCTTACTGTATCTGAAATGTGTTTAAAGGTGATTTCTCATACTGTTTGGGAGTGGAAGGAGAGAGGATGACTTACAGATATGTTACTGTTTTTTGCTTATGGACTCCGGGCTTACTTTTCAAACCCCCATCTTAACGATTCTGATCTTCCTCTCTATCATATAACAGCCCACAAATACCAAAATGAAGTCTTTGATATAGAGACTTACTCCTAAAAGGTCTGATAAATGACCTGGTTATACTAAACTGTTTCATTTAATAAGATCTGTTGTATCTAGATCAGCAAGATGTGGACAGAGAATGGGAAGCGTTCATGAATACCACAGAACCGTTATTCCACCAGTCATATGGGCTATGTACACGTGGGAGGGACGCGGAGGAGATGGGGATACTGATCACAGGCTCCCGGCAGGAGATGGACTCAGGGCCAGACTGTAATGGCAGTGATGGACATGGATTCATGGGGAGAAAGGCATCCCAGAAGCAGAAGATTAGTCAAGCAAAGGCACAGAAGCAAGAGTTAGTTGTGTGCAGGGATTGGCAAGCAGGCTGGCTTGGCAGAGGTAAAGGAAAAAGAAAGCTCAAAACAGATATGGGGTACAAAAGAGGATTTGGATGGAGACTTTGAAATCCTGGGCTGACAAGTCTGGATTATAGTACAGAGGTATTTTTGTCTTCTAATTCAAGGGTCCCATATTTAAGAATATTTATTAAAAAGTAATTCTCATTACAAACATTGAAGGCTATAAAACAATATTCCTTTGACATATTAAAAAGAAAATGTTCTATGCTTTATTCATTTTCATATCCCTATGTGTCTAGCACAGTGCCTTGCAGATAGTAGATCCTCAATAAGTGTTTATGAACTCAATTTTGCTGCAGTTGGTATTGCATTTTCACAGAAAGAAAAGGTATGGTGTTTTATGGGACTCCTAATAAACAAACCCTGACCAAGAGAAAAGCTGGATCTTTGGGTAGAAGGTTCATGTTCATCACCAAGATTTACAGTTAGGAAAAGTATTAGCATTCTACAGGAAATTCTGCATAATGCTTTCCAGGGATTTCTTGTTCTCTACTGGACTGTGAGCAACTTGAGGGCAGAGTCCATGTCTTACCTGGCTGTGATTTGCAGTATCTAGTATAGGATGGGCGCATAGTAGGTGCTCAGTAAATGTTTATTGAAAGACTATAATACATGGGTCATAGCATAAATGGACAATGGTAGAGAACCATTTGCCAGGAAACATCCTCATATTATTTTAACTGCAATTATTTCCCTGATGAGTCAGTGTCATCAGACATTCTGACAGTCCCGAAGTCAAAGCCTTCTTTGTACCATACAACCTGGAATTTCCAACCACTAATTAGTACAGACTCAGCTGCTTATATATGGGGCATCAGTGGGTCTAGATTCTAGTGTCCGATTTTCCACTGACTTGCTGGGTGTCCTTGGGCAAGTCATTTCCTTCTCTGGGCTTGAGTCTCCCCATCTATATAAAATGAAGGGGTTGGACAAGATGATCCCCAAGATTCTAATTCTAGGAGTCTAAATATTAGGCCGCTAAATAATTTTGATCTACTTAAAAAGCTGCTAGGTTTTTTAAGACACTAAAACTCAATACTGCTAAACTTTTGTTTCTAATCAAGATCTTCTAAATCTAAGAGTCAAACACAGCATCCTACCTAATTGTCACTGACATACACCAAGACCACAAGTCCTTCCTGCAAAACTACCAGCAAATGATTAGAATGATTCCGAAAGTAAATCAAAGCAATGGCAAATGTTACAAGGAAGGATCTAAATTCATTCATGGCCCTCAATAAATAGGCCATTTCATGAAGAGTTACTGGTCCTAAATTATGAAGGTCCCATCTAAAAAGGATGGCTAGGTGTCAGATATATGTAGATCATGGTTAAACGAAGATACTGTATATTGAAATGTGCATCAGGATTAAGATATTCACATAGCAATAACTCCTTCATACTTACCTTCAATGCTATACACAGGCCTTAACACAAGTTAAGACTGCCCTCGTTATCATCAAAAAGTACAGTGATGTCTACTGGATAAAGAGCCCATTCTAGGCACTGTGACAGTATCATGGCGGGCTTCTCATCTGATCAGGCATCTGGCCAGGGAAGAGATAAGCCTCCAAGAATGTTCAACTGGAACGAAACATCATTTAGAAATTTGATCTTACTAAACGATAAGGAACCATAATCTATAAGGGCTTGGCCAGGCACGAGGACACAGATAAAGCACGTCCAAGAAAGGAAACCTTATTTTGCCCCAGCCTAACCCTTAGGACTGCTAATGGAAACCAAAAAGTACTTTCTTAAAGATTTAGGGGTGGGAGATTATGGGATTTATACCATATTTAAAATTTTATAGTCTGTCTTTTTTTTCCCCAGATATAGTTCAACATTTTCCTGAGCCACCATTTCCCTGTAAGTATGGTCCTCTGGGATGCCTGGGCTTATGTAACCTCTCAGGACCTTAGAGAAGGTTCCACTTTTTAGGCTTCTGGTTCCTACATAACTCTTTCTCCCAGAAATGACAGTGCAATATTGGGGCTCAGATACTAACATACCCAATAGCACATTATAGAATAGGCCAGATGTGTATGTGTATAAAACACCTTACTTGACCTGGAAACAAGAGAATACTCTTGCCCACAGCACATGTTTTTGTGCAATACAAACAAAGCATTCAATTCAAGTGTACTTGTTGAAAAACAGGACATAATTAAGCAGTTGGTAAAATGCATTCTTGTTTCCCACTTGCAGATCTCCCAAGAGTCCCTTCGAATTTACCTATACGAGTTTCAGCTTCCCGCTTGCCACTTAGCTTGATAACGACTCAAAAATCATTCCCTTGTTTTCAAGGGCTCTTCTTTCTTGTCTGCTCTGTGTACTACAGGGCAGTATTGACACATGGAATTAATGACAGGGTCTGTAATGAAACAACAGTCATGCAAACACCAGTCTGCTCTTTTGATAAAACAGCATGTTAGAGACCTATTCACCTCCCTCTAATTGAGTACTGCATAATAGTTCCGATCCTTTTATGTAACATATTTTGTTCTATGATTAGAAAAGAAGAAAAAGGGGGAGCCTATGAAGCATTGCTTCCTTCAATCACCCCCTGATTAATTCTCTGATTTTAATGAGGGTGGCTGCTATTTAGGCAGGTCCTGTTACCTACTTGTTTTGTTGACTTCTGTACAATGTATAACAAAACCCATGATGGGATAATTGGGAACCATTCCTTTGGCACGGGGATTCCTGTTCTTAATGTAAGGTTGGCTTGGAAAAAAAAGAACCCTGGCATTTAAAATTAGCCATTTCATATTTAATTCCCTTTCACATTTGAAAGATAGGATGAAAATTAGTATATAAATAAAGCATTTTAATTAACAGAGCTTTTCCAAAAGTGCCTGCAGTAATGGAGCCTGTGAGAGCCCGGAGAAAGCAGCTCTGTAATCTTTGCTATAATTCCAAGTCTGAGAGTGCATCTTATTTCAAGATTTCAGCGTCAATGGAACAGTCCATATCCACTGAAGTACAATGGATTTCCCAATAACTTGTGATATTCTTAAGTGTTTTTAACGCTTTTTTCCTCACAGAAATTAAAACAACCTTTGGCACTGGTTAACATGTTCAGTTATATACTATGGAAGAGTGTCCTTTGCTGGTCCTTCATCTTTCAGTTAATCTTTCATCTAATGGCTTCCTAGTGCTGACTGGTTGGTTTTACTGTTCTTTCACTAAGCCACTAACCCAGTAGGCAGGAGAGGTGTGGTGACTTTTCTATACCAAATTCGAGGTCTTCAAGCTGCATTTTTCAAAAGCATTTCTGAGATCCTTCCCTCAGCCTCACCATTATGCTTTGGGATTGGGTACAGTTGGGAAGGTAAAATACGTAACATAAAAATATCAATCCCAAGACAAATGAATATGGCATGTTATCTACACCATGTCCTTCCACTTTGGGAGTTGCCTAAACAGGCAACAGTCCTGTAAATAAGGAAGTCTTTCTAAAGTTAATTTTCTTGATATGATCACACTGAATGTAAGAATTTGTTAGAATACCTATAATCATTCTATTTTCAAAATAATTAAAAGACTTTATTAACATAGAATCATAGCAGTTTTACTGGTTTCCTTCATATGAAGTTGTTTCTGTTTATTTTCTGTTTTTGATATAAGCTACATAGGACCTGACTTGATATTTGAGAAAAGCTCAACTATGGAATGAAAAAGCAGGAATGAATGGCCTCCAAATCTTAATTTTTTTGTCAGGTAAATATGCTTACTCTTTGTCTTCGTGCTTTGCATCTATTTAAAATTTAGAGCGTATTATTAAAAATAATCAGACTGACAAATCTGAGAGCTGTTTGTTGGTAATTTTTCAAAATAACATAAGATCTGGAATATGAAGACTAAGAACCAAATCCTGACTATGTCATTAACCAGATGCCTGATTTTGGTTCAGTCACTTCATCATTGGTCCCATTTACTCCTCAATAAAATATCTCTTGCCCTATCTAAAATTCACAGGGCTGTTTTAACAGCCAGTGGAAGTACTTTTTAAACTTTAAAGCACTATATAAATATTAGTCTTTCATTATTCTCATTTCTGTTAGAAGATCACATGCAAAGCTTCTAAAAATTTGCTATCCACCTCACATTAAACAGCATGGTTAAGAAAATATAGAGAAAGAGGTTAGGGATAGTGCTAGAAAAATAAAACTCAGTTTTGTCCTTAACTGAAGGTGATCTTTATTTCTTGGTAATTTCTCTACAGAACCTTTCTTTCCTGTTGTCCAGAATTAGCAAAATAAATATTAATAAGAGGTCAGCATGCCAGCTGACACTGTTGAATAAAGCAGTAGAAATGGAAGTTCGTACATGCTCTTCTCAATCAGAAAGTCTTAAAAGTTAAAGGAGGAGGGTGACTCAGAGCAAATAGTCAATGGAGATTATTCTTATTTGATGTTTCTCTAATAAACAGAAGTCATTTCACCTAGTGCTTAAACCAAGAGCTCCAAGTAGGCATTCCTACTACAGAGTTAAAGGACAATGACTACCGATAGGCAATACAAAGTTTGCATGACGTCCTACTAAGAGATGTCTAGCCAGTTTCTCAAGTTAATCCTCCCCTACCACTTTAAGGGTATATTAGTTTAACTGGATCCAAGTTCCCTTAATTAAGCTTCTAAGCAACACTGCAGTGTATTTTAATGATGTAGAACAGTGCTATCTAATACAAATATAATGTAAGCCATATATGTAATCTTAAATGTTCTAGTAGCCACATAGAAAAAACAGGTAAAATTAATTTTAAAATAATGTTTAATCCAATATATCAAAAATTATTTCAATATAAAATCCATATTAAACAACTGAGATATTTATTTTACATTCTCTTTTTGTACTGAGTCTTTGAAAGTCTGAGTATTTAACACTTACAGGACATCCCAATTCAGACTAGCCATAGTTATATATGGGTAGTGGTTACCATATTGGACAGTGCAGATCTAAAGGATTTTCTGATGTAAACAATTAAGATCTTGACACTTTCGTACCTAAATAGATTTCACAATGCTATAAAGACTGGATCATATTTCTGCAATGTACCTAAAAAGCATTTCCTTGATTAACTCATCATAAAGGTGGGAGTAATCACAGTTATTTTTGTAAGTAGAGTAAAGTAATTTAGTTACAAGAAAAAAATTATGTAGTTATTACTTTTCAGTCATAAATTACCTGTCCCAGCTTCCATAAGTTTAAAAATAACCTTTGGATTAAAGGGGAACTATTACTGTATTTGATACTTGCATTTATTAAGAAAGCCATGTCCCAAATACTACACAAAGGCTGGCAAAATATATATATTGGATAAGGAGGAGATAAGAAAAGGAAGAAATGGAAAACAATTATTTATATAAATGTAAATTTTAGAAGATTTTGATAGAATATATAAGCAATAAAGGCAATGTACCTTGTTAAACAGTGATGGGGTAAGGGTAGAGTAGAAGATTAATCAGTCCTGGTTCCAATTAAGAAACTAAAGGGGATTAGAAAAGTCGAAACTTGAAATATTATTTCCCTTGGTTAGCTTAGGCTTAAGCCAGTCAATCCTCTCTCCCCTTTTGTGGAGGAGGCCGCGTCACTACATGAGGCTCGTATGCTGTAGCTGAGGTGAATGCAGTTGTCTTAGCCACACTGGACTTGCTTAACCACATACAATCCCCGTTCTAATCTCCCGCTTAAATTGCAGGGGCTTATTTTTTTCCAATTCAGAAAAGGAAAGAGGAGGTGGAGAGGCAGGCAAATTTCATCCCCTTTTCCACATCTGTTCTCACATTAAAAAAAATGTCAAAGGAAGCTTTCTATAATCTTATGCCTCAGGCCTTAATGCTTATGTCTGATAAATATTACAATTATTCTATATTAAAGAAGTTAGGTACCCCAATATTTAAATTAGCCAGTCGTGGGCCAAAGTACCTTATAGAATTCTTTCCAGACCTGAATTTTATGACATCTGGCCAAGAAATGGAACTGACAAAAGTATACTTTCAAGACTTTAAACCATGTAGGCTATTTTATTGAGCAAAAAATTAACCTTCGATTTGGGGATCTGCTTTATACATTATTTCATCATCACACACTGGGGAAACCACAGGGTACAAGGCACTGTACTAGCTAGACATGATGGGATTTATGGGGTTCAAATTATTCTCAAACTCTTAAGACCTCTAGGTCCATTGCCAATCCCCTTACCTACATCTGTCACAAATACAATCCTTACTAAAAAAAAAAAATCACTTGGAATATACTGTCAGTTGGTGGTCAATGGGAAGAAAATGTTTGAGTGCTAATCTCTCCAGTATCCTTAAAAATCTAGCTGAGATAAAGCTGCTAAGGTGGTGAGCAACTTGAGGCAGTGGCTATGTCCAGCATGGAGGCAAAATGGAAATGTCATTTTAATTTTTGCATTGGTGGTTTTACAGTTTTGGTGGTAAATAACATCTGTACCCTACACCAGGCTCAGTAACAGTACTTGGCATGACCAACCTTAGTCATCACTTTGGTAAGTGCTTTGGCACGGGCCACTGTTGCTAACCACCATCCTGGTGCAGGTCGTTCACATCTGCTCTCCTATGGATGGAAAAAAGGAAGTGTCTAGCGTCCATTCATTGGCCACATCACCTCCAATCCTATCCTTTACTCTCACGCCTTTCAAATCAGGCCCAGGAGAAAATGATTTCACTTTTGGAAAGAAAGTTAATCAGACAAAGCTACAGTACACTCTTGGCACAGCAAGACTTGGTGGGATGCGGAACATCCTTGGAGTGACAGTTGAAGGAACTAACCAATAGCACACTGCTGAAGAGGATGATTAGGAAATGTTCTGGCAAACACTGACTCTAACAGACAGACACAGTAGCACAGTGGACAGAGCAAAGGTCTTGATTTCTGGAAAATGAAGTTCTTAGCCTTACTTTAGCTAGAAAGACAATGTATGTGAAAGTGTTTTGTAAACTGTGAAAGGAAATGGATTTTCACCAGTCATTAGCTTGGAAATGTTTGGGGCAATTCTTTGGGCCTTGCTTTCCCCAATGATAAATCTGATAACATATTACTCAAATAATGATAAAATAACCTGAGCTCTTTGGAAGAAAGATGCAGTATGTGAATAAAAAAGATTTATCTTATTAACAAGAGTAAGTTTCCCTCTACCTAGAATGAATGGTCATTTCTCCATTTGTCAATTCAATACCTCTTAAACTTCAAGGATCAGCACAAATGCTACCTTCCCTGTGAAAGTCCCTGATTTATCCCAACAGAATGAACTGCTCCTTCTCCTGGGTGCTCACAGTTCAACACAGACCTTATTTTGTCATTACTTCCTTCTATTCTAGAACAGATTACAGCCATATCCCACAGTAACAAGAAGTAATCATTTCCAAAGATACGGACTACCACATTCACCTCTGAATCTCCCTCATCTTCCTAGCACAGTGCCTTGCACAGAGCAGCTGCTTAATAAATGTTCCCTGAATTTACTGAATTTAGTCTACTTTGGCTTTATGGCATCTTTTTAACCTCAAAAAACCAAACCAAAAACGACAGTGAAAAGAGAGAAGAAACTTAAGACAAACACATAAGACACATAAAGAATGGCTTCATTCTTTGCATTCCTGCTTTGGAATGCCCACTGCTGATCTCCATACAGTTTTGTCACTGATTGTTATTAGTGAGAGCAAATGTTAGAAAGCACATAAAGGCAGACAATGTAAAAATCCCACCACAAGTCATGAAAAAAGTCTGTGATTTAGGACTATTCTCAAAGTTGCCTTAGCTTCAACTTTAATGGCAAAATTCATACCATCAAAGCCAACACAAGACATATTTGCTCTGCTTTATACATGTGAAAATCAGTATCACCTTCAGATTGAGCTGGGCATCTGCTGGGTGTTTACTCATCTAGGGCAAATGGGCCAGTTGGATAGCATCTGTGTTATCTTTTAAGAACTCATATTATTGAAATGAAATTTATTCAACCTAACTAGTTCACTGTCTTCACACTAATATGCTCTACTCAGGTCCTTGTTAACATTTCCCCCTCCAGCTTCTACCAGATGGACTCTGTTGGTTCTCATCCCAACTGCTGTACTTACAGCACTGTTTCATTAGTTACCTCAGATCCTTTTGGAAGTACAAATCTTACTTTTATATACTCATTCAGAACCTTTTACCCTGCCTCCTATAGGTTTGTCCTATCAGCATCTTCTCTTTTATTGTAAATTCATTCAGGGAAGGAACATGTATATTCTATCCAAAGGTATGGAGAATGTCATATGCAAACAGATAACAATGTCTTTTGAAGACTGTGAGCATAGTGAGCTGTAAATTCTAACCTTCTTGGGAAAATGATGGAAATTTAAAAGGACTAACTGGAAGTCAACTAAATTCTAGTCATATTAGCTTTGTAGATGATGAAGCTACTTACTTCTATGTAACTTCCACCACATTACCAGCATCATGTGAAAACTCAGACTCTGCAAAGGATCTAAATACCCTAACTTGTCACACTCCCCATGTCAGCCTCTTCTTATTTTTGAACACTTCTACTCTAAGCCTCCTGCTGTGCTCTTAGCCTCTGCTTGTTTCTTTATTACACCTTTCCCTTTAATGGTTGGCTTGCTGGCTTTCCCATTCTAGTTGCTACTCCTCTTGATTGAGGGATACTAGCCTTTGCATAGCTGTTGTGAAAAAGGAGATGACCAGAAGAAATTCACCTTCCGGTGGCAGCTGCCACCAACACACAGAAGCACTCACTCAAGATGGCTTAAAGGAGACAGTGACTCAATGTACGACTAGAAAATTGAGCAATTCAGGCAAGTATGAAAGGAATTAATACTTTCTAATAACTCCTCCAAGATGACTAGTTGCTTATTAGTATATATTTAATTATTTTCAAAACTGGCTATCTGGGGAGGGGAAGGAGGTGTGAAGCAAGAAGGGAAGGGGAGATTGTTTTTAGAATCCCTAATTAATACAAGTGCCTGCTTTCAGAAAATCCTTCATTTGAGCTATTCCTTTTCACTTTTTCCTATTGGGTGCGTGACATTTTAGAATTCTTGGTTTTAGCAGCAATCCAAAAAGAAAGAACTGCAAACTTGCACATCAAAAATGGGGAAAAAAAAAAAGCATCATGATTTGGAACAAAAACCAAAACAGACTAAAACAAAAAATACAAGCAGCAGCAAAATCATTGAACCTAATTCACAGCATCTTTTTGAAGACAGGGAGGTTAGTTGGTTAAATATCACAATGACCTAGTAGTTACTATCCTAGCTTTGAGAGTTTAAATGTTTAAGAATGCACATCCATAAGCGGCACATGTAGAAGAACCATGGTAGCCAAGAGAGATCTGAACTACTGCTGCCTGGGCCATCCTGTTCCAATCAACATGGATTTCCAGAGTTGCTGTTCTATGGTAACTCTCAGTGAGAGAGACAAAGAAATAGAACATTTTTAGAAACCAAGCAAAAAATGGATGGGAATACAATACCTGGAAAGTTTATCAAGCATGTTGACAAGTTTCATGGCTTCATATTCTTTTTGTTCTTCTGTCATTTCATCTATGGGGTTTGGCATTGGTTCCTCTAAATGACCAGTGATAAGATTAATGCTACAAAAAGAAAAAAAAGTTATGCTGTATGTTTTCAAATTATGCTCTTTCTATACTTTTCTGGTCCAAGTTGTAAGTTATAATAAGAAAGAGTATAATAGCCAAAAAATTGGCAATAGCAATTTTATGATATAGAACTGCTATAGGAATTTTTTTTAATTGACTTTTCCTGCTAATTTGCTTTGGGAAATGGGTGATAGCAAACTTGCCAACTTTTTTTTAAAGGCATGGCTGCTTTTTAAAAATATGAAATTTGATTGGTGCCGTTAGGATAAATATCCTTGGATGCACAGCTTCTTCATTAATTATATAAGGGACAAATGATTTCAGAGAAGGAGAAATCTATTCTGTGATACAGCATAAAACAAATATGTCAAAAAATTGGAAAAATGATGACAGAGAGGCTGGAATCTGAAAATGAAAGCATGCCCATTTATAATCTCAGGGAATTAGTCCATTAGTGAGACCACAGAAGGCAATGAGTGTTTAAATAATAAAAGATAAAGCAAAAGAACAATTTTAATTAGATTTGATCTGACCTAGATTAAAAAAAGGAATGAAATCTAGCCTACCAAAAGACAGGTATACCATCTAGCTTTCTGGAAATAGATTTAATAAAGTACTTAAGATGAATACGTTCCATAAACTTTGTATGAAGTTCTAATACCAAACAAAACTATCCTCTTAATTAAAAGCCACATTATTATTATTTTTTTTGACGAGGTGAAATAAAAGATAATTCTTTCAACGGCTGCCAAATATTTATAGCTTAAGCATCTTTCTGGAGAAGCAGACAAGAGGTTACAGCATTTTGTACCAGCCACGTACACACAGTATGTTTTTAATGATCAAATGAAATATCCCTGCAAAAGGCAAATCGCTGATAAGTTACTTTCTAGGGTCTACAAACACAAATGGTTTCAGGGGCCAGGCCTTAAGGATATGCAAAATTGGTCAAGTATAAATAACATGGAGTATTGGGGACTAGGGTAAAATGGAGAACAGTGCTAGTCTAAACAGGGAAAAAAAAATCATGCAGGCCAAAACCAAGACACCACGATTAATTCCATCATCTGGTGGCTAGTTTGCCAGCCCTGCTTTAGACTTTTACTTGGGCAAGTTAACTTTCTTTACAGAGCAGGGCTTTTCTCACTTGGAGCAAGGGCTAGGTACTATAATCTGTTACAAAAAAATATTTATTTTTCTACATTCCTCAGAGGCTGCCTGACATACAGATTCTTACAGAAGGACTCAATGCTCACCATCCTTAAAAACCGGATCTAAAACATCTGTTTCGCCATTCTTTCGTAAGACCTATGTCTATAGCCATGGTTAAAAAACTTTTTCCTTCGAAGTAGTGGAACCCCTCACCCTTTTTATTTTAACAAATGAAATCTACATAGAAAGCTGATTTATGAAATAGATGAAAGTGGAACTGCTCAGGCAGAAGAGGGGATAGGGATGGCCAAGGAGAGTGCAGGCCTAGAATCCCTTCTATTTGTCTGCACTCACTTGCTTCCTCTTAAGGCAGCCCCTAAGGCACTTTCAGGAACTCTGGGGAAACAGTCTGAAAACCCATAGGCTTCTCAGTGATTCTTAGCCTTGGCTATACATTGGAATCACTTGAGAAACTTGAAAGACAGGCCTCACCTGAAACCAACTAAATCTGTTTTGGTTTTTTTTCCAGGTGATGCACCTTGAGGTTAAGAACCACTGGGATAGAGTGCCTACTTGAGACATTCATTGTGTACTACTAGTCTCTCCCTTTTTTCAGGTGCTCATAAAAGAAAAGAAAAAGGCGTCTAGTTGGTGGCCATTAACAAAAATGCCAAACGGGGTCATCACCAAAAGTCAAGAACAAAGAGGACCCAGACGAGGCTTCTGAGAACTATGGAGTTTTTAAGAAGTATCCCAGATGCCACAGTGAAAACGTAATTCCACCACCCATCTATTATTTGCTTAGGTGTATAACGACAGGACATATTTTCACTGGTTTCTCTTCTGCTGCCTGCTAAATTAGAAAAAAACATATAGTCTTATAAATAAGTAAGTAAAGGTACTTATTATAGGCACATACCACTTACCAAGCAGACAAAGGCAATAAGGCCTTAGAAGAAAGTATAAGGGAAGGTAGATGTATTAACTATTTAGACCATGCTCATCTGTCTCTTGAGAGAAGGCTTCTCTCCTCAAGCTCAATGGAAGGGTGACTTAAATCAGATCCACACACTGTTTTAGAATATAATGAAATTAGCACAACCCATCATGTGCCTCAGGGAAAAAATTGGTCAGGAGGACACACTGGTCAGCTCTGTGGTATTGTGGATACCACAGCACACAAAGTCAGGACATGCATTCCTGGATCAGGGCATATTTGATTCTTTTCTTGGTTCTTTTAAGGGCTTAGTGGAAATGATGTCTGTTTTCCATAAGCTGACCTCAAGTCCACTGATGCTAAAATGATTTAATATCTTGCTGTGAAATTAGCTACTAAAGTCACAAAATCCTTTGCTCACTGAGCATGAAAGCAGCAGCCAGAAATTCACTCTTACAGAGTAAGAACTTACCATCCTTTACCCATGTAGTAAAACATTCCAACCCCCCAAAATCACTCCAGGGATTGAGGTTTCATCTTTTTTCCTTGAAAAAACACCCCCTACCCCTACCCCCACCCCAGTACTCAGAAGAACGTAAACAAAGCCACAGCAAACACAAGTTGCTGAACCATGCTACTCTCCTATGGGAAAAATGCCAGTGTTCTGGGGGCAGGAGGCAGACTTGGACACTGTCTCCCCTCCAGCTCCCCACTTCAAACCAATCTCATGTAGCTTCTACCCAGAGGAAGAGAAAACAAATAGTCACCACCACAGCAACAGAGTGAGGTTTCATAAAAAACTTTTGAAAAAAAAAAAAAAGACTATTTTTGGTTGAACAAACACTTGCCACCTTTATAACCTTGAACAGTATAGTCTGAGATTTAACTTTCCAGGTTTCAGGATCTTAACACTGAAATTCTGGGATTGGTTTTTTGTTCCAAGACTCTGAGTCCTAAGATACTTTAAGTATACTAACTGTTAACTGTGGTGGATATTTTATTGGATAATTTTATACTTATCATAATTTTTCCCACCCTGTCTCTGCTCCCCTCCCCATCTTCTCAGCACTCCAATCCTGTTTTATGTCTTCCAATTAGGTGACAAGTATCCAAACTCTTATGTGTGATATGTCACCAAGACTTTTGTATTATATAAGGTCATTATATGACAGCAGCTGGAGACAAAAGGATTAAGACTTGCTCTTCAAAATGTTGCTACATTTGGCCAACATCAACAGTACTACTAGTTCACTGAAGAAAAAAAGCTATTAAATGTTCCCTGAGCTATATGAAAGTTAACATCTATCTCTAAAAAATGTGGATTAAATTTTGCTCAAAGCACCCTGGTTAACGAAGAGGCTATAAAGTCAAGTCCCTACAGAGGCTAAGGCAGATAAGATGAACGAAAAAGATACATTATCAGGGGATTGGTTCAAGATGGTCGAGTAGAAGGACATGCTCTCACTCCCTCTTGTGAGAGCATGGGAAGCAAAACTAACTGCTGAACAATCATAGACAGGAAGCCCCTGGAACTCACCAGAAAAGATACCCCACATCCAAAGACAAAGGAGAAGCCACAATGAGATGGTAGGAGGGATGCAATCACAATAAAATCAAATCCCATAACGGCTGGGTGGGTGACTCACAAACTGGAGAACACTTAATACCAGAGAAGTCCACCCACTGGAGTGAAGGTTCTGAGCCCCACATCAGGCTTCCCAGCCTGGGGGTCCGGCAACAGGAGGAGGAATTCCTAGAGAATCAGACTCTGAAGGCTAGTGGGATTTGATTGCAGGACTTCAACAGAACTGGGGGAAACAGAGACTCCACTCTTGGAGGGCACACACAAAGTAGTGTGTGCACTGGGACCCAGGAGAAGGAGCAGTGACCCCATAGGAGACTGAACCAGACCTACCTGCTAGTGTTGGAGGGTCTCCTGCAGAGGCAGGGGTGGCTGTGTCTCATTGTGAGGACAAGGACACTGGCAGCAGAAGTTCTGGAAGTACTCCTTGGCGTGAGCCCTCCCACAGTCTGCCATTAGCCCAACCAGAGAGCCCAGCTAGACTCCAGTGTTGGGTCATGTCAGGCCAAACAACCAACAGGGAGGGAACCCAGCCCCACCCATCAGCAGTCAAGTGGATTAAAGTTTTGCTGAGCTCTGCCCACCAGAGCAACATCCAGCTCTACCCACTACCAGTCCCTCCCATAAGGAAACCTGCACAAGCCTCTTAGAATAGCCTCATCCACCAGAGGGCGGACAGAAGCAAGAAGAACTACAATCCTGCAGCCTGTGGAACAAAAACCACATTCACAGAAAGACAAGATAAAAAGGCAGAGGGCTAAGTACCAGATGAAGGAACAAGATAAAACCCCAGAAAAACAACTAAATGAAGTGTAATTGGCAACCTTCCAGAAAAAGAATTCAGAATAATGATAGTGAAGATGATCCAGGACCTCGGAAAAACAATGGAGGCAAAGATCGAGAAGATACAAGAAATGTTTAACAAAGACCTAGAAGAATTAAAGAACAAACAAACAGAGATGAACATACAGTAACTGAAATGAAAACTACACTAGAAGGAATCAATGGCACAATAACTGAGGCGGAAGAATGGATAAGTGAGCTGGAAGAAAGAATGGTGGAATTCACTGTTGCGGAACAGAATAAAGAAAAAAGAATGAAGAAATGAAGACAGCCTAAGAGACCTCTGGGACAACATTAAACGTAACAACATTCGCATTATAGGGGTCCCAGAAGGAGAAAAGACAGAGAAAGGACCCGAGAAAATATTTGAACAGATTATAGTCGAAAACTTCCCTAACATGGGAAAGGAAATAGCCACCCAAGTCCAGGAAGCCCAGAGAGCCCCAGGCAGAATAAACCCAAGGAGAAACACACCGAGACACATAGTAATCAAATTGGCAAAAATTAAAGACAAAGAAAAATTCTTGAAAGAAGCAAGGGAAAAATGACAAATAACATACAAGGGAACTCCCATAAGGTTAACAGCTGATTTCTCAGCAGAAACTCTACAAGCCAGAAGGGAGTGGCATGACATATTTAAAGTGATGAAAGGGAAGAAATTACACCCAAGATTACTCTATCCAGCAAGGATCTCTATCAGATTTGATGGTGAAGTCAACAGATTTTCACACAAGCAAAAGCTAAGAGAATTCAGCACCACCAAACCAGCTCTACAACAAACGCTAAAGTAACTTCTCTAAGTGGGAAACACAAGAGAAGAAAAGGACCTACAAAAACAAACCCAAAACAATTAAGAAAATGGTAACAGGAACATACATATTGATAATTACCTTAAATGTGAATGGATTAAATGCTCCAACCAAAAGACACAGGCTTGCTGAATGGATACAAAACCGAGACCCATATATATGCTGTCTACAAGAGACCCACTTCAGACCTAGGGACACATACAGACTGAAAGTGAGGGGATGGAAAAAGATATTCCATGCAAATGGAAATCAAAAGAAAGCTGGAGTAGCGATACTCATGTCAGATAAAATAAACTTTAAAGAATGTTACAAGAGACAAGAAAAAGGACACTACATAATGATCAAAGGATCAATCCAAGAACAAGATATAACAATTATAAATATATATGCACCCAACATAGGAGCACCTCAATACATAAGGCAACTGCTAACAGCTATAAAAGAGGAAATCGACAGTAACACAATAATAGTGGGGTACTTTGACACCTCACTAACACCAATGGACAGATCATCCAAACAGAACATAAATAAGGAAACAGAAGCTTTAAATACACAATAGACCAGATAGATTTAATTGACATTTATACGACATTCCATCCAAAAACAGCAGATTACACTTTCTTCTCAAGTGCTCATGGGACATTCTCCAGGCTAGATCACATCTTGCTTCACAAATCAAGCCTCAGTAAACTTAAGAAAATTGAAATCATATCAAGCATCTTTTCTGACCACAATGCTATGAGATTAGACATCAATTACAGGGGAAAAAAACGTAAAAAACACAAACACATGGAGGCTAAACAATACGTTACTAAATAACCAAGAGATCACTGAAGAAATCAAAGAGGAAATCAGAATATACCTAGAGACAAATGACAACGAAAACACGATGATCCAAAACCTATGGGACGCAGCAAAAGCAGTTCTAAGAGGGAAGTTTATAGCAATACAATCCTACCTCAAGAAACAACAAACATCTCAAATAAACAATCTAATCTTACACATAAAAGAACTAGAGAAAAAAGAAAAAACAAAACCCAAAGTTAGTAGAAGGAAGGCAATCATAAAGATCAGAGCAGAAATAAATGAAACAAAGAAAACAATAGCAAAGATCCATAAAACTAAAAGCTGGTTCTTTGAGAAGATAAACAAAATTGATAAACCATTAGCCAGACTCATCAAGAAAAAGAGGGAGAGGACTCAAATCAATATAATTAGAGTGCTTCCCTGGTGGCGCAGTGGTTGAGAGTCCGCCTGATGATGCAGGGGACACAGGTTCGTGCCCTGGTCTGGGAAGATCCCACATGCCGTGGAGCGGCTGGGCCCGTGAGCCATGGCCGCTGAGCCTGCGCATCCGGAGCCTGTGCTCTGCAACGGGAGAGGCCACAACAGTGAGAAGCCCGCATACCGCAAAAAACAAAACAAACAAACAAAAATATATATGTATAATTAGAAATGAAAAAGGAGAAGTTACAACAGACACCGCAGAAATACAAGTCACCGTAAGAGACTATTACAAGCAACTCTATGCCAGTAAAATGGACGACCTGGAAGAAATGGACAAATTCTTAGAAAGGTATAACCTTCTAAGACTGAACCAGAAAGAAATACGAAATATGAACAGACCAATCACAAGTAATGAAATTGAAACTGTGATTAAAAATCTTCCAACAAACAAAAGTCCAGGAACACATGGCTTCACAGGTGAATTCTATCAAACATTTAGAGAATAGCTAACACCTATCCTTCTCAAACTCTTCCAAACAATGGCAGAGGAAGGAACACTCCCAAACTCATTCTATGAGGCCACCATCACCCTGATACCGAAACCAGACAAAGATACTACAAAAAAAGAAAATTACAGGCCAATATCACTGATGAATATAGATGCAGAAATCCTCAACAAAATACTAGCAAACAATGCAACAGCACATTAAAAGGACCATACACCATGATCAAGTGGGATTTATCCTAGGGATGCAAGGATTCTTCAATATATGCAAAACAATCAATGTGATATACCATATTAACAAACTGAAGAATAAAAACCATATGATCATCTCAATAGATGCAGACAAAGCTTTTGACAAAATTCAACACCGATTTATGATAAAAACTCTCCAGAAACTGGGCACAGAGGGAACCTACCACAACATAATAAAGGTCATATACAATAAACCCACAGCAAACATCATTCTCAATGGTGAAAACCTGAAAGCATTTCCTCTAAGATCAGGAACAAGACAAGGATGTCCACTCTCACCACTATTATTCAACATAGTTTTGGAAGTCCTAGCCATGGCAATCAGAGTAGAAAAAGAAATGAATAAAAATTGGAAAAGGAGACGTAAAACCGTCACTGTTTGCAGATGACATGATACTATACATGGAGAATCCTAAAGATGCCAGCAGAAAACTACTAGAGCTAATCAATGAATTTGGTAAAGTAGCATGATACAAATTAATACACAGAAATCTCTTGCATTCCTATGCAGTAGTGATGAAAAATCTGAAAGGGAAATTAAGAAAACACTCCCATTTACCACTGCAACAAAAAGAATAAAATACCTAGGAATAAACCTACCTAGGGAGACAAAAGGCCTTTATGCAGAAAAGTATAAGACACTGATGAAAGAAATTAAAGATGATAGAAACAGATGAAGAGATATACCATGTTCTTGGTTTGGAAGAATCAATATTGTGAAAATGACCATACTACCCAAAGCAATCTACAGATTCAATGCAATCCCTATCAAATTACCAATAGCATTTTTTATAGAACTAGAACAAAAAATCTTAAAATTTGTATGGAGACACAAAAGACACCGAATAGCCAAAGTAGTCTTGGGGGAAAAAAACAGAGCTGGAGGAATCAGTCTCCCTGACTTCAGACAATACTACAAAGCCACAGTAATCAGATGATGTGGTACTGGCACAAAAACAAAGATATAGATCAACGGAACAGGATAGAAAGCCCAGAGATAAACCCACGTACCTGTGGTCAACTAATCTACGACAAAGGAGGCAAGGATACACAATGGAGAAAGGACAGTCTCTTCAATAAGTGGTGCTGGGAAAACTGGACAGCTACATGTAAAAGAATGAAATTAGAACACTCCCTAACACCATACACAAAAATAAACTCAAAATGGATTAGAGACCTAAATGTAAGACCAGACACTATAAAACTCTTAGAGGAAAACAGAGCAAGAACACTCTTTGACATAAATCACTGCAAGATCTTTTTTGATCCACCTCCTAGTGTAATGGAAATAAAAACAAAAATA